ATTTTTCCATTTTTTGTTTTTAGGTTGAGTGGGAGGGGGAGAGAGGAACAGAGAGAGAGAGAGAAACATCAATGTGAAAGGAACACATCGAGTGGCTGCCACCCGCACAACCGACCAGGGCTGGGGACAAACTGCAACCGAGGTACGCGCCCTTAGCGGGAACCGAACCCAGGTCTCTCAGGACCGCAGGCCGACGCTCTAACCGCTGAGCCAAACCAGCCAGGGCTGATTATGCTTTTTCTAATCTAAGCTCATACAGATTTACACCTATGTTTTCTTTTGCGAGTTTTGTAGTTTTAGCTCTCACATTTACATCTTTGTGTATGTTTTAAGATATGGCTCCAAACTCAATCTTATGCAAGTGCATGTCCAGTTGTTCTAGCACAATTTGTTGAAAAGGCCATCAAATTGTCTAGACACCCTTATTAAAAACCAGTGGACTGTAAATTCGATGGTTTATTTCTGGACTCTCAATTCTATTTTGTTGTTACGTGTCTATTCTTTTCTTAAAAATATGTTTTTATTCATTTTTTAGAGAGAGAGGGAGGAAGAGAGAGATAGAAACATCAATGTGAGAGAGAAACATGGGTTGGCTGCCTCCTGCACACCCCCTACTGGGGATCGAGCTCGCTCGCTGGGCCTGTGCCCTGACCAGGAATTGAACCGGGACCTCTCAGTCCATGGGACGATACCCAATCCACTGAGCCACACGGGCCGGGCTATATGTCTATTCTTATCCACAAGTTTAATTACTGCCACTTTTTACTAAGTTGTAAAACCAGGAAGTGAAAGTCCTCTAACATTATTCTTTTTCAAGATTGTTTTGGGAGTGTTATCATCTATATTAATTTGCTATGGCTTCTGCAACAAATTAGCACCTATCTCGCGGCTTAAAACAACAAAGTTTTATTAACTTACAGTTCTGTGGGTCAGAAATCCCACCAAAACCAAGGCATTGTAATTTGTGAACTAAGCAAGGCCCTGTGTAGGTTCTTTGCACCAGAGTAGATTAAGAGAATTGTCAAAGCTTAAGTCAGTCACAGGACTTGGATTATTTAAATGTCAGCAGATGTACATGCATTTTCCTCATTAGTTTTTCTATAGTAACAAAGCATGAGTACGTAGCTGAGTACGTAAATGTGACGTGACAGAATTAGCTAACACTTATGAAGAGGAAGTAATTTCCAGGCACTACATTCAATGTTTCACAGTCATTTTCTTAATGTATTCAACAACCAAAAGAAAGCACGTGCCAGTGTCATTCCCATTTCATGGACTGAGGTTCAGAGGGTCTCACAGCCATTCAGCAGAGAATCAGAATTCAACCTGCCTGTGTCTAGACCCTGACCTCTGGAGTACTAGCCACGCAGCCTCCGACCTGTGACGGCACAGACTCCCTTCATGGTCTGGTTCAAGGTTCAGCAACAAAACACCTGTTCCCTACCTTTGGCCCCAGGCTAAGATTAGGCTCCATATGGGCAATGCGTGGTCCAGTCTTTCCCGTGACCACAGAGTCTTTTATGGCGATCTCATCTACTAGATCGGCACGCGAGAGGCCAGCTGAGGGCCACCGAACCCCCTTCAGTAGAGGTGATTTCCTTCTTGCAAAAGTTGAGATGTATTTTGCCACTTCTTACTTGCTTTTGTTTTCAAAAGTCTGAAGTCTTTGGGGAAAAAGTATACATAAATAAACAAAAAATAATAAATAAATGCATAGGAAGTATCACCACTAGTAAAGATTACAGTAGTTTAGAAATTTTAGGTTTGCTCTTAACTTAATCAGCCAGAGCTTCACACAGGGCTGCAGGGCTGTTAACAACTTGGACGTTTTTGCACAGTGCATTTTCACTTTTAAAAGGTGAGCATTTTGTGGAGTATGCATTTTTTGATGTAACAATAGTTGCGAAAGATCTTTTTCACAATTTCAAGTAAATGCGAGACTTCCTTCCTGCCTAAACATAATTCCACTCCTGCCAGATGGCTTTTCGAAACAGTCGGCAAATGCATTTTCTTTTTGGTGTAAAAATGAAAATATTTTGCAAAAATCTTGCAGAAGACTGATACGAAGGTACAAAACAGGTAAACTAATGCCGCAAAAGCCCGATGTTCTCCTGAGGAATTCGGGGTAGAGCACCCGTCTCCCTCGTTCACGGGGTCCTCGCTGTCATTCGCGAGTTAAAGGACAGTCTCACCGGAAACATGAACTGCGACTGGAGTTTGAGGATATGAAGACATTACTGACAATTACATTTATGTGTGACACTAATATTTTTAAAGAATTCTTGCCTTTTAGATATAAATAGTAAGTATTCATAAATACAATGATATCATGTCTGGGATTTGCTTCAAAAAAGAATCCCAGGGCCCTGGCCGGTTTGGCTCAGCGGTTAGAGCGTCAGCCTGCGGTCCGGAGAGACCCGGGTTCGGTTCCCGCTAAGGGCGCGTACCTCGGTTGCAGTTTGTCCCCGGCCCTGGTCGGTTGTGCGGGTGGCAGCCACTTGATGTGTCCCTTTCACATCGATGTTTCTCTCTCTCTGTTCCTCTCTCTCCCTCCCACTCTACCTGAACAAAAAAATGGAAAAATGTCCTCGGGTGAGGATAAAAAAAAAAAAAGAATCCCAGGGAACTAGTGAGACAGAGAGAGTCTAGAGCAGTGGTTCTCAACTGTGGGTCGCGACCCCTTTGGGGGACGAACGACCCTTTCACCGGGGTCACCTAAGACCATCGGAAAACACATCTTTCCAATGGCGATTCGTAATAGTATCAAAATTACAGTTATGAAGTAGCAACAAAAATAATTTTATGCTTGGGGGTCACCCCGACATGAGGAACTAACTGTATTAAAGGTCGCGGCATCAGGAAGGTTGAGAACCACTGTCCAGAGGATACGTCGGCCTTGCATTGCCACCTGCTCCCATCACGCATTCCCCTGCCGCTGTCCACGTGTCGGCACAGCGGTGGGAAGCGTCTCTGTGTGGCCGATGTTTGACGGGTTGAGGAATTCTGTTTTAAACCATCTGATTCATTTGTTAAGAAGCCTGGAAAATTACCTAAGGTTGAACTAACATAGTTTTCGGTAGGTCCTACCCTTGACACTTTTATAGAAATGTTTATCAACAACTTATCCCAAGTCTCTTATCAATGATTTTCAAACCGTGAAACTGTGTCCAGCCGGTGTGGCTCAGTGGTTGAGCGTCGACCCATGCACCAAGGGGTTACCAGTTCGATTCCCGGTCAGGACACATGCCCAGGTTGTGGGCCCAATCCTCAGTGGGGGGCATGCAGGAGGCAGCCAATTAATGTCTCATTGATGTTTCTATCTCTCCCTCTTCCTCTCTCTCTAAAAATTAATAAAGAATTTTTTTTTTTTATGAAAAAGGAAAAATCTTCCCTTGATCCTGCATTCTCCTGTAACCACCACTTCCTTTAAAAATAACAACAAAGCCCTGGCCAGTTTGGCTCAGCGGTTAGAGCGTCGGCCTGCGGTCCGGAGAGACCCGGGTTCGGTTCCCGCTAAAGGCACGTACTTCGGTTGCAGTTTGTCCCCGGCCCTGGTTGGTCGTGCGGGTGGCAGCCACTCGATGTGTCCCTTTCATGTCGATGTTTCTCTCTCTCTCTCCCTCCCACTCTATCTGTACAAAAAATGGAAAAAATCCTCGGGTGAGGATAAAAAAAAAAAAAAAAACAACAAAAAACTTCGAGACTGTGTTCTGACGATTGTCCTGTGATCCCAGTTTCTCCTCGGAGACCTCTCGGGCTGTTTGGGTTGGGGGTGGGGGGTAAGATGATCTCACAGGCAGAACGAAACTCCCCTCCCCTTCCCCACACTTTCTCTTGTGGTTTACTTGTGAGTTACCACATGTTTTTGTTTGAATAATAGGTTTTGTAACTGTAAGTGGTAATTCTTTTTCCATAATGACATTTTTGAGCATTGCTGTACCTTTAAATGAGACAAGTATAAAACAATGTAAAGGAAATAATTTATATATTAAGGATCAGATTTTAAATGTGACATTTTTATTCCACTATCCCATTCGACAGCTTAATATTAACTCTAGCACGTACTGGTAGAAAAATCCCACAGGCTTTGACTTGCCCCAAGATCTAGACTGGTTGGAAAATCAGAAATTATATTTTTGGCATTAAAATAAATGCTTCTATTAAGTTTTAGGATTGACAAGGAAGAGAGAAAGGGGGCATCTCATCATGTTAGCTCCGAAAGGATACATTTACCAGGTAGGTTAGTTGTTTCTATGTAATTGACTTCTGAGAACAAGCCGTTCAGCCTCACAGAGCTTCGCTTGCAGAACTGGGCACCGGCAAACCCACTGTACGGTGGGGCGGGGGAGGGCATGCGTGTGAGCACCTGGAACCAGAGGACTTCTTTCCCATTAAAAACAACCCAAACTTCCTGGGGTGGATTTCTACAAGTGTACATTTCCTCCTCGCAATCCTAGTCATTAATCACAAGTAGTGTATAATGAACACCTGCATGGATCATTGATTCCACAATCCAACCTGAAAACTCCAACTTTGGGTTGTCTCATCCTCTAAGAATTATAATCCACCCCCAGGGTCTGTTCCCGACTTGTCTGCCATCTGCTTTTGGCAGAACTTGAACCAGGAAATAGGATTTCAACATCCTCTTACTCCTCTCCTCACCTTTTCTTGACTCCAGGGTCTCCCAACCTCCACTAATGAATTCCTTTTTTTTAAATCCTCACCCGAGGACATATTTGCATTTATCTTCAGACAGAGCAGCAGGGGAGAGGGAGGAAGAAAGAAAACATGGATGTGAGAGAGACACATCGACTGGCTGCCACCCACACAACCCCAGCCGGGGCCGGGGACAAACTGCAACGGAGGTACGTACCCTTAGCGGGAACCGAACCCGGATCTTTCTGGTCCACGGGCCGCCGCTCTAACCGCTGAGCCAAACCAGCCAGGGCTGATGAATTCTTTATTACAGGGGAGGGTGTCCTGTGCATTGTAGGGTGTCTGGCAGCATCGCTGACCTGTACCCACCAAATGCTGGCAGCACCCCTCCCCCAGTCTTGACAACCAAAAAACGTCTCCAGGCCCGAGCAACTGTCCCCTTTGCCAGAATGGTGGGTGCGAGTGAGAAGGAGCAAAACTGCTTTCTAACCCACAAGGATCCCAGGGCTGAGACTTCTGCCGGGAATTACCTGCTCCCCTCCCCCGACTTGTTTCTGAAAGAAACCTTAGACCACGTAATTTACCAAGTCGACCTGCTCAAACCCCGGCTGCACAGGAGAGTCACCCAACATTACGAATGACCAGCTGGGCAGCACCATTTTCCAAGAGCTCCTCAGATCTCAGTCTGTAGACAAGACAGACCATCTCTGAACTAAATGTCCTTAATAATCTCAATACTTATGAAAACGCAGAACAAAACAAAAACAGTTTTATTTCAAGTAGAAAATATCCAAGTAGTTTCAGAGCAAGAGAATAATCCCATGTCAGAAGGTTATAGAACACAGGCCACTGGAGAAATTTCACATTTGCTTTTTGCTTTCCATTATCACAGAGCAAGTGGGAAGTTGCGTCCCTCTGGAAATTTTGGGATTTTTAACGGTTTGACTGAAGGTGTGTCACTTGATGTAGAGCAATCTCTCTGGTGTAACTCGGACTCTTTTGACCAAAGAACATCAGGTAGAAGCTTTTAAAGGGACAAGCCTGACCAAGAGGAAGTGTCCTGAACGTAGTGTTTGAGATTGGCAGGGAGGGAAGATGGAGCAATTCCAACGGTGGCCTAGGAAAGGAGGTCTTCTGATCATGTTTTTCAGCAGATGAAAAATGTGATCGAATTGTGACCTCTCCTTTAATGCTTCAGAGCAGTGGAAATAAAACCAGGCAATGAAGGTCTTTTATCTTAGGACCCAGGAGAGTTATGTCCAGAAGGTACACATACATACTCTGGCCACCGCCAATCCCACTTCTGACTGGCCAGTGAAGTTTGGCCGAGATTCTCAGCCAGTTATTGATCTTCTAAAAGGTGCAGGGTAAATGACATGTTCGACTTCCCATCTGACCTAGGCCACTCACCTCGCTTCCCTGGGATTGTTTCCTTACCTGAAAAATGGGCAGCATGGTATTTACCTCAGACAGTCTCTATGAGGGATTAATTTAGATAATATATGTGAAAGTGCTTTGTATACTGTGAAGCCCAATAGGTATGCTATTTCAGGGACCTTCCATCCTGAAGATTATACTAGACCAGGAGCCAATGGCTTTTCGTGGGGGCTTCTAGGACATGTATAGAATAGTGTATGAGTGCAGTCACTGACATAACTTGTCTGTCCTCAAGTGGGCAATTAGGAAAACATATTTGAGCTAAAAATACAGAGTGATGTATTTTTCATGACTGAGGTTATGACTGTATTTTAGGTTATTACATACTAAAGACCAGAAAATTAATTGGTGCCCTCTAAAAATGCAAAGAGCAAGAGATTTATCTGATAAATGGTTTCCATTAAAAAAATTCCATTTGGTTTCCCAAATTTATCTTGTCTCCGGAGGTTTCTGAATGCCACAGTGTCCTTCTCCTAGCTTTCCAACTGCATTCTACTGCTCTCTACATCCCTGGCTTGGAGAATATCAATGTTTGTACAATAACAGTGGATGGCAAACCTAGAGATTTAACCCTTTAGTTTGCTAACTCATGGATATGTTAACTGAAACCACTGTTTTGTCTTTCAATTTAGTTTTGGTTGACATTCAGAATGTAACCTTTGTGGATTTGAAAATAAGGCTTTTGGTGATACTGTTTCATACAGATAATGCAGTTGAGACCATCCAAATAAGCCCTTGGTCAAAATTTCAAGTTATGCCCTGGCCGGTTTGGCTCAGCGGTTGGAGCGTCAGCCTGTGGACCGGAGAGTCCTGGGTTTGGTTCCCGCTGGGGGCATGTACCCGCCCCCCCCAAAAATTCAAGTTATTAGTGCTTACCCAGCAATAAAAATTCACATGAATGAATGAAATAAACAGGGCAGAGAGAAGCCTGTTTCAGGAGACAGTCCATGCTATACTAAGGGATACTAGGGGGTAGGGGAGGGACTGGTAGAGAAGAGGTCAGTGTTTTCAAAATTGCATTCAGATGTTTTTTCAATCAGGTGTCCCACATGGCTAGCAGAGAACAGTGGGCAGATGCACCCCAGTCTTAGGAAAACACAGACACCTGGATGCCATCTTTCCTGAATAGGACGTCAGCTCAGCCACTGGGGTAAACCTAGAGCTGAGCCGCCACTACATTATCACGCTGAGCTCATGTTTCTCTGGTTTGTCCTCCAGTGGTTCTCCCTCGAAGTCTGGGTCCAGGTCTGGGTGGTGGATTTCAATGATAAGGATATAGATGAGGCCTCCAATGACAGCACCAACCATAGGGCCCACGACAGGAACCCACCAGAAGTTGTTTCCAGCTCTGAAATCAAACAAGGAATTGGTGACACATCACTTACTTGGCCTTCCTCCCCGTGTTCCTGCTCGTCACTCACTAATCTACTAGTGTTGCTCAGGCTTATGGCTCCCTTTTCCCTCAGCAAGAGCTAAGTATAAGGGTGCTCACCACAGCTGGGCAACCTGGATTCTCTAATACACCTGATTTCAGATGATCCATTCCATTGTCCTTTTAGTACTTTCAAAAGAAGATGTCCCATTTATTTTCCTTTCAGAAAATATAGTCCTATAATGTGGTCAAAATTTAGGGCATAGAGCCCTGGCCTGTTTTGCTCAGTGGTTAGCGCGTTGACCTGCAGACCAGAGAGACCCGGGTTCAATTCCCGCTAAGGGCATGTACCTCGGTTGCAGTTTGTCCCCGGCCCTGGTTGGGGTTGTGCGGGTGGCAACCAGTTGATGTGTCTCTCTCACATCGATGTTTCTCTCTTTCTCTTCCTTCCTCTCTTCCTCCTGCTCTATGTGAAGATAAATGCAAAAATGTCCTGGGTGAGGATTAAAAAAAAAAATTGAGGGCATAGAGCAAACGTTCAGGTTGGTTATTCAGGACTTTACTTTCCCTTGTCCTGAAATAATGAGTCTTGAGGATTATGAATGGAAAGATGTGGAGAGATTCCTGGACATCACTGGTGTGTGAGAACAACCACAAAATAATCAGGATTGTTTGTCAATGAAAAAGAGTTTTTAAAAAATCAGAGGTGAAATACGAATTATGTACTGAATAGAATTCAATTTAGTGCTTATTTTCAAGGTCGCAGCTTGACGTTCTCTGGTAAGGCTATCGTGCTGTGATTCCCTCCCCGTCCAGAAATCCCGAGTCAGTGCATTGCACTGGAGGTTCGGTTGTGCGATACAGTAGCTGTCTTTGCGAATTGTCACCTTTTTGGAGGCAGGAAATCCATTTAAATAACTCAGCAGAAAGAACCAGGAATGCTCAGAAGCAAGCAGAACCATACAATATATTGTTTATGGAGATATGCATTTGAGATAAAACTTCTTAAAAGCAGAGAAATGCTGAACACAAAAAAATTCAAGACAGTGTGTAGGAGGCAAGGGAAACAGGAGGGTTTACGTGCGGATTTCATATTGTTCTGCTCGAGGGAAGAGCCATGCCTGTGCCCCCCCCCCTTTTTTTTTTTTTTTTTTTTGGTAAATCTGTATGCTTAATAACTACACATAAGATCTTTGCTTTGTATCAGGTATTGCTGAGAAAGCATAAAGAAAGAAATGAGCACACGCAGGAGGCCTGTCCTGGGACTCACGAGACCCAGTTCTAATCTCAGGATTCTCGAGGTCTTCGGGCAAGTCTCCCCCTCTCTGAGATTCGTGCTTCCATCTGCACGGTGGTCCCTCCCACGCGGACTATCCCAGCACTTGCTTAGGGTGAAAGCAGATCATCAACGCAGGCTCCAGGCAGCAGCGCTGAGGCTGAGCGGCAGCCACTAGAGGTCGCTCGTACTGCGTGGGAGACAGGACGCGACACTGCTGTTCAGGCAGCGCCTGGGCCAGGTGGACATTTCTGTGAGAGGCACAGGGGCTTTAAAAACTCAGAGGTACTTCGTTTCCTTTCTTCCATCAGTATTTTATAGTGAATCTCATTGTCATTTAACAAATGGGGGTCCAAGATATCTGCCAGGACACATGTTCTCTTTTTCCTGGATAGACCCTCCTGGGATCAGAGCTGAAGCCCTGTGCTGGTGTCACAAGTCATAAATGGAGGGGCTCCGATGTGCTTCCCTGCCTGGCCAAGCCCCAGTGTCCACAGGGTCACTTGCACGCTGTGATGTTGAGGATGCCAGGAAATGCCTGTGTTCATTGGTTAAGGTACCGCCATCAAGGATTCATTCCTTTGGGTAAACTTTGAAAAAATTAACACTACCCCTGAGATCTTTCATCCATTAAGTCCTTAACCTCTTCATGTGAGTTCATGAAGAGAACTGGGATGGGAACCATCCTAATTCACGGGTAAAGGAAGAGTCAGCCAGGTCTGTCGACTCTTGTTCCTAGACCTTCTGGTGCCCCACATCCTGGTCAACCTCACTGCTTGGTGAGGATCTGAGAAGAAGGCATTCTTGGCTCTGTCTGGGTGTGGATCCAAGCTGGGACATCTGAGATGCTTACTTTGGAGACCTGCTCTCCCTCAGAGGTTTTCTTGGGAACTTTTGGCTGAGGATTCCCAGCAAGCCTAGCTTTTTTCTAACTGGTTTCTGCCCCCTCTACTCTCTCCTTTTAAATCCATTTCATATAATGATGTCAGATTAATTTGGCTAAATTAAAGTTCTAAACATGTCAAACTTCTTCCCTAAAATCCTTTGCTGCTCTCCATAACCTACAGAATGAGGAGTAGCAAAACCTCAAAATTTTTCATTCCGGGAGTCTAGGACCTCAGTGGTCTGTCCATAACTGTCCTGTCTTCGTGCACCCTTCAGCTAGACAGGCCCACTGGGTACTTTAACACCCTCTGTTTGTATATAGGATCCTCTCCAACTGAGATATCCTCGGAAATAGAAATGTCCCATTTAAACATGTCCAGATGCTACAAAATGCCCCTTGTTTCACCCTCATAACTTCTAAATTTGGAGTTGCAAACCTTTTCTCAACTCCTGGAGGTAATTAGTCAAATCTCTTGTGGCGCCTGTCAGCCCCAACCTTGCTAAGAGCCTGTGCTAACCCTCTGAAACAGAACAGAACAGCACCGTGAGGGGCAGCAACTGGGTCTTGCCATCTTGAGCACAGGGTCTCGAGTGAGAGATTGGGCAGCTGCATGGGTGCACACATGAATGCATGAAAGAGAAAGACCCTGATGCTAAAAAGAAAACACGTGGGATTTGGTGATTGAGCATTCTCCCACAGACGTGGTCTCCTGCAAGTCACTTAGCAGAGCAGAGAGAATAGGCAAGATCTCCGCCTGTAGTAGAATCGCCATCACCCGCAGAGCTTTGGGCAAATCACCGAGAGGGCTGAAAGGGAGCCCAGGTCACGTTGGGACATTTTGTTTCAGGGGTCTGTGTGAAGCTAGCAGAGGTGACTTGGTGGTGGGGGCAGTGGTCTCCTAGAGTGAAGGCCAGGAATGCTGGACTAAAGAAAACTCAGGGGCTAATTCCCGGCTCTGGGAATGAGGAGACCTTTAGGACTTACATTCTGTTCTCCAGAAGAACACAGAGCATCCTTTTCAGTGGGGGACGTTGTGCTCAACCTTCTCATAATCTCGTGGTGATCACTCTGGAACAGGGCTCCTTAACTGTGGCACTCTTGACATTTTTGGCCGAATAATTCTTTGTTGTGGGGATCTGTCCTGGGTATTGTAGCTTGCTTAGCCGTATCCTAGCCTCTGCCTACTCGATGCCACTAACAACTTCTGCCCCCACCCTCCTCAGTTGTGACAGCCAAAATTGTCACATTGCCAAATGCCCCTGAGGGCAAAATGCCTCTGGTTGAAAAAAATCACTGCTCTAGAAAACTTAGTGTATTGCTAGTTTCTTAAAGATAGGGATATTGCTTGATTCTCCTGGTAACCCTCATCTCCTGGGACACGGGGCACATGGTTTTCACTCACTCAGTAACTTTCATTGAGACTTTCGATGTGCCTGGCCCTGCGTTAGTCACCGTGGACACCGCAGTGGCAACGCTGTCACAGTCCCTGTCCGCATGGTGCTCACCTCCTAGCAGCTCCCAGCACCGCTGCTGGTGGCGAGGGGAATGCTGTCAGTGATGTTAACAGCTGGCGGCTCCTACTTGCGAAGGCAAGACCAACTCTCACGTCAATAAAGTCGTCAGATGGGTCTGACTTGGAGTGCAGTCAGCATTTAGGGACCCGTGAGCCCTCTGTTCTCACAGCAAACATTCAACAAACATTTGTTCCCACGTGTTTTTCCTACCCCTTTCTCCATGCCAGAGCCCTGGTTCTGGATGAACCAACAGACACTGTGACAAGCGGACAGGATGGGCCACTGTGGTTTTATGGTGGGGGAGTGGGAAGGAATTAGTGGGTAAAGTTTGTCCTGGGAGCTTGGCAACAACAGTTGGTTTTATTTCCTCAGCACATTCTGAAGTCAAAAGCCCAGGGTCTTGCCACCTGCTGTGCAGAGGCTCTTTGATTCCTGTTCTGCCAGGCACCGGTCCTCATGCTGGAGATCAGCACGGCGCCGTCGGTGGGGCCTTCCCAGCTTCCCCAGCCCAGCTGGTCACTGCTTGGAACTATGTTTGAGGGGTTGCCAGAGCACTTATCATATTGCTCAAGGCTAATAACTTAGCTCATTTTGAAATTTCCTTGCCTAGCCCAGGCTGGCTTGGCTCAGCTGTTGGAGCATCGGTCCACAGACCAAAGAGTCTCGGGTTCGATTCTGGTCAAGGGCACGTACCTCAGTTGCAGTTGGGTTCCCAGCTCTGGTCATGGTCCTGCAGGAGGCAACCAGTCAGTGTGTCTCTTTCACATCAATGTTTCTCTCTCTCTCTCTCCCGTCCCACTCTATCTGAAGATAAATGGAAAAATATCCACCCTGGCCAGTTTGGCTCAGTGGTTGGAGCATTAGCCTGCGGTGCAGAGAGACCCGGGACTGGTTCCCGCTAAGGGCACGTACCTCGGTTGCAGTTTGTCCCTGGCCCCGGTTGGGGTTGTGCCGGTGGCAACCAGTCAATGTGTCTCTCTCACATCGATGTTTCTCTCTCTCTCTCCCTCGAGCTCTATCTGAAGATAAATGCAAAAATGTCCTCGGGTGAGGATGAAAAAAAAATCCTCGGGTAAAGATTAAAAAAAAAAAAGAAAGAAAGAAATTTCCTTGCCTAGCTTAATGACCACAGCATAAGACAGTGTTTGGTGAAGATCTGTTGAATGAATGGATGCTGCATGGTTCACTAGAAAGAGCCCTGTAGTTGTATTGAAAGACATAAATTCTAGTTCACCTTTTTGGAATCTCTCTCTCTCTCTCTCTCTCTCTCCCTCTCCCTCTCCCTCTCTCCAAAGTCTGTGTTTGCCTCTCTCTTTCTTTTACACACACACACACACACACACACACACACACACACACACATCATGTCACAAATCACCAGGGAGACATTCCACACTCAGGACCAGAGTATGCACTTGACCTCCAGCTTCCTGTCTGTACTCTCCTGGATCCCGGTTCAAAGCCCAGGCCTCCCTGATAAAGCCCAGCACGACTCTTTCTCTCCCCTCCGCCCCAACCATTGTTACTCACGTGAAGACCTCGAACCCCCATCCTGCCAAGGCAGTAAAAAGTCTGGGACTCAGGTCTCGAGCTGGATTCATGGCACAGCCACTGTTCAGTCCCAAAGAGGAAGAAATGACAATAATCAGGAGGCCAATGACAATGGGCTCTAGGCCTTTGGGAATGCCCACGTTTTTGGAGTCAAAGATGGCAAAGACGAGCATGAGGAGGAACATGGTGGCCACGACCTGCGGGAGGAGAGAATGTGGAAAGGGTTTAGCTCATATTCTGTCTATTTGCCCACCTCAAAAGTCACCCCCTCTTGTTAAGAAGAAAGCTAGTAGTTACTAAAACACATGGGTGAGCACTTTGCCAGACACTCTTCTTACCACAGCAAGTTCAGACGTGGGCGCTCATATTTCCCGAAACAGATTAGTACTACCCAAGGTTGCACACTGATTGGCGGTCAGGTGTGGACCTAGAGTTGGGCTCTGGAGACTGTTATCTTTATTACGCTTTCCTGCTAAACGACTACCCAGCTAAACAGAAAGACAAACTGCAGGCTGGAAAAATGAACGGAGGGGTTCATTCAAATTGGCAAGACAAAGAACGTGAGATATCAATAGGAAAACTGGCAAAGGAAGTGAACAGAAAATTCATGAAAGAAAAGTAGAATTAAAAAACAGGTAAGTGGGGCCCTGGCCGGTTTGGTTCAGCGGTTAGAGCGTCAGCCTGCGGTCCAGAGAGACCCGGGTTCGGTTCCCGCTAAGGGCGCGTACCTCGGTTGCAGTTTGTCCCCAGCCCTGGTTGGTTGTGCGGGTGGCAGCCACTCGATGTGTTCCTTTCACATCGATGTTTCTCTCTCTCTCTGTTCCTCTCTCTCCCTCCCACTCTATCTGTACAAAATATGGAAAAATGTCCTCGGGTGAGGATAAAAAAAAAACAAAAACAAAAACAAAAAAAAACAAAAAACAGGTAAGTGGGAATAACCTGTAATGAAAAGAAAAGCAAACAATAGGAAATATTATGGAAATGATACCAGTTCTCGGGCTTTTCCGATAGAACTAAACATGTATCACACTTTTGAAAAGAATCTCAGCAGTAATTTAGCAATGTGCATTCACAAATTTTTTTATGTTTTTATTGATATTTTAAGAGAGGAAGGAAGAGAGAGATAGAAACATTAATGTGAGAGAGAAACATGGATCAGCTGCCTCATGCACGCCCCCTACTGGGGATCGAGCATGTGCCCTGACCCAGAATAGAACTGAGCCACACCGGCCAGGCAGCAATGTGCATATCTTTTTTTTTTAATCCTCACCCGAGGACATTTTTTTTCCATTTTCTGTTCAGATAGAGTGGGAAGGAGAGAGAGGAAGAGAGAGAAACATCGACGTGAAAGGGACACATCGAGTGGCTGCCACCTTCACGACCAACCAGGGCCGGGGAAAAACTGCAATCGAGGTACATGCCCTTAGTGGGAACCGAACCCGGGTCTCTCTGGACCGCAGGCCGATGCTCTAACCACTGAACCAAACCAGCCAGGGCAGCAAAGTGCATTTTTAAGAAACCCACAAAATTATTCAATTTGACCTCATTGGATATTTAAGAACCATTTCATGAAAATAATCTAAAATATGGAAAAACCATAAAACAGACACACTCACTTAACCATTACATGGGTTTTCAACTGCATAGTTCTATTTATATGCAGATTTATTTTTCGATAAATACTGTATTTTATGACTCCCTCAATAAGATTTTCTCTACTTTATTGTAAGAACATATAATACATATAACATGCAACATATGTGTTTATCAATTACGTTATTGGTAAAGCTTCTGGTCAACAGTAAGCTATTAGTAGTTAACTTTGGGAGGGTCAAAATATACATGCAGATTTTCGACTGCACAGGGGTAGGTGGCCCTAACCTCCACGATGTTCAAGGGTCAGCTGTATTTATAGTACTGAACAACTGGAAGCCACCTAGGTACAATAAGCCCTCGTTTATCACGGTTAATCAGTTCCAGACTCTAGCGGTTGCACCTGGCGTTAAAGGAGTCCCAGGGTGCTCGGATACATAGGCCTACAGTCCATACGTACAGTAATTGTAATTTTAATTGTAATATAGGGGTGTATAATTGACTCAGACAACCGAGCGCGCGTTGTATCATTTTCACTGTCTCAATCAACTTTTTAATTAATATATTTGGAAAAACCGCGATAGAGTGAAGCCACAAAAGTCAAAGCGCAAAGTGGCGAAGGACGATTGTATATATCAACAAGAAAAGGGCTGTCTATATTATGGAGTGCCCATTATATAGTCTATTATACAGCCATTAAAAACAATAAATATAAAAGCTAAGAGGAACATTAAAAATGCTTCTGATAGTGCCCGGCTGGTATGACTCAGTGGTTGAGCACCAAGAGGTCACTTGGTTCGATTCCCGATCAGGGCACATGCCCAGTTTGTGGGCCCAATCCCCAGTGGGGGGCATGCAGGAGGTGGCCAATCGATGTTCTCTCTCATTGATGTCTCTATCTCTCTCCCTTTTTTCCTCTCTCTCTAAAATCAATAAAGACAATTTATTTTTTAAAATGCTTCTGATATTAACTTAAAAAGTTGTATGTGCATTATATTTTACACTTAAAAACATGCATAACAGGAAACTTCTAAGAGAATATATGAACAATGATAACAGGTATTCTGAAATGGAGGCTTTTAACTTGTGCTTTCTCTACTCTGTTTCCTAAACTTTCCAAACTATTGTGTGTTTTTTTAAATCCTCACCTGAGGACATTTTTCAATATTTTGTTCAGATAGAGTGGGAGGGAGGGAGGGGGAGAGAGAGAGAGAGAGAAAGAGAGAGAGAGAGAGAGAAAGAAAGAGAGAAACATCGACGTGAAAGGGACACATTGAGTGGTTGCCACCCACACGACCCAACCTGGGCCGGGGACAAATTGCAACTGAGGTACGTGCCCTTAGCGGGAACCGAACCCTGGTCTCTGTGGACCGCAGGCCGATGATCTAACCGCTGAGCCAAACCGGCCAGGGCCAAACTATTGTTTTACTTGAACAGCTAAATGACAGCGATTATTTGCTGAGCACTTGTCACGTGCCAGGTACTTGCTATGCCTTATCTCCTTAGCACTTCAGAATAACCTATGAGATGGATCCTATTATCATTCTCGGTTTACAGGTGAGAAAACTTGGGTAGAATGAGGCCAAGAAACGTGCCTGAGGGTCCATAGCTCATAAGCAGAAGAATCAGGACGAGAACCAGGCAACTGATTTTAGAGTTTAAACTCTTCATCATTTCATCTGCCCTCTGAATTAGTAATATGACAAGAATTTGTGTTCCAAGAAACATGTTCTCCCAAGAACTCTCTCCTCTGGAACCTATTTTCCATGCTTCCAGGCAGAGTAGCAGCTTTTGCCTCGGGGCCCCAGTGCATCTGGACTTGACTTCTGTGCCCCCCTGTCACCTGTCAGAGGACCAGGCCCTGTACGCCTTGAACAAGGAACAGCGTGGAACTGTACCAGCACATATCCATTAGGCAAAAGAATGATTGTCTGTTAATTAAATTATAGAATATGCTCAAACAATATATTTAGAGTGAAACAATTCAGAGATCTTGAGATAAAGTGACCAGAAATGTCCGGGGAGGAGGAAGAGAGCATTGCTGGAGGCCATGGAGAGAGGCGGTCCCTGCCAGACGTTCTCGGCGCTGGAGTTCATTGTGTCACATTCTCAGAACAGACTAAGAGTCTAGGAAGGTGGCTCTGGGTCCAAATCATGAGGAACAAAGACATGGGTCTTTCCAGGGCCAGCCAAGGTTTGAGAGAGAAAGTCGACATTCTTTCTCCTTTACTGCCAACGGAAAGGCAGAATTCACATGAGGGGTCTCTAAAGCTTCCACAGCTCGGGACTCCAATGCCATCTTCTTCATTATACGACAAATTGGGCTTGAATCAAATGGACAGTAGGACTCCTGAGAAACCCCCTAACTCTTACCCACACTCAGAGTGCATGCTGAGGCACCGCCTGGGATGCTCAGACCCAGCCGAGGGCTCCCGCGAATGTGCGTGCTGAAGGCGGACGCGCTCCCGCCCTCCTGTCCTTCCTGACCTGCCTAGAATAGACTCCTGGCACCTTGAAGCTAGAAAGAATCACCTGGACATCTCTCTGCTAACAGAGACGGGTGCCCAGAGAGGTAAAGAACCTCTCTACTGTCTTGCCTTCAGTGATATCTCCCCGCCCCCATCCTTCCCTCGCTCATTGTCCCTAGTTTCCGAATGGCTAATCTAGTCTCCAATCTGGAAAGTATCTTAGGGGTGACATATCCCACGCTGTCCACCATCTGGTGCTTGAATACCCCGAGCATACCCCTTTCCCTGCTTTCCACCCCTAGAGGTTACCCCCACAAGCCTCTAACATCTATAGTGACTTGTCCTGGAGCTTCAGGGTCTATATTTAGCTCAGCCCCAACTGCTAGAAGTCTTTCTTTTATGTAACATCATTTTATCTCAACATAATTTCATTCATGTATGAACTCACCCATTCATTTTAATGAACAGCTATCATTTATTGAGCACCTATTATGTAGCAGGCTTTGCACTTCCTCCAAATCTCCATAGGGGGTTTACGCACCAAGTTTAATCTCTTTTGCACTTGACAGCCCTTCGTATCTTTGAAGGTTACTATCACATCTGTCTTCCCCACCTTCCTAACACACCTCTAGACCAAACTTCCCTGTTCTCCACTCACGGCCGTGTGGTATCATTCCCTTTGTGGTTTTTCTCCTTTGGTAGCATGCCCACGTGAGGTCTCACATTAGGGGATGAGTCTAATATTCCAGTATAGAGTAAGACCCTCAACCACTTCGTTTGAATTCTGTGCTTCTATTATTGCAGCTTATGATAACGTTTCTTTTCCTGGCAGCTACATCTCTCTGAACCCTTTCCACTGAAACTTTTCTTATCCTTGCTCATCTAGACTCTGTTCCAGGTTGCTGCTGTGACCATCTACAGTCCAACTTCTTATCTAATAGTATTCAGTTTTTCATTGTTCCTTTTGTTCTTGTGTGATCATTCTGTTTGTTCTTCAGCGAGGCTCTAAATTACCTGGGTAGGTACTGTTCACATTGCATTTCCCTCGCATTATTAATTCTAGCTTTATTAGTAATCAGATAAGTGCTAATATCAGCCCCATTGTACATATGAACAACCTGAGACCAAACAAGTTCAGTAATTTGCTTACAGTGCACAGGGAGTTGGGGACAGAACTGCTGTTTCAACTCAGGCTCTCAGACTCCAGGTCTCGAATCTCTACATCGCCCCTCGAGCTCCAGACACAGGGCTGAGCGTAGTGCGTGCACAGTGAGAACGTGCTGCCCGTGTAAGGAACAAGGCTGAGGCCATGAGAACGTGGATTTTTCATCCACTGAATGGAGAGGGGCAGAACTGGCCGATTGAAACATACATTTTATCCACATGCCCTCTCTAATCTGCCCTATTGTTTAAGTCCTAAACACAAAAAAAAGGACTTGGAGTTGGAGATTTCCTTTCTTCCTCCTTTCCTTCTTTTCTCTCTCCCGACCTCCTTCCCATTCTGGCCCTTCCTTCCTCCCTTCCTTCCTCCCTTCCTTCCTCCCTACCTCCCTCCCTTCCTCCCTCCCTTCCTCTCTCCCTCCCTCCCCATCCCTGACCAAGCTGACAAGCAGCCTTCCTGGGATACAGTGAAGGAGGAAGAGCCTGTTGAGCTGACAATGTTGGTCCTGCCACGAACTGCCCAGAGAGCTGTGCTGTTGGCTATGCAGGCAGCTTCATGTCAGTCAGGCCGAGGAACACGGACACTTGCAGCTACCCTGAGAGTTTGGATAAGCCTGCACCCGAGGAGATGGAGAGGATCTGTGATACCCTAAGGCTCAACTCCCTCACTTCCCAGTCCCTGACTTGAGACTGAAAGGTCTTTTCCTATGGTCTCCACATTTAGCTCGTGAGCACAAAAGAGACGTCATAGTGAAGCAACCCCATTTGCCCCTGCAGAGGTTGACATCTCCAGTCACCCACTATTTTCTGGAACTCAACTAATATTAACAAGTGTATGTATTAAAGAGGAAGTAGAAAACTCTTCTAAGGGTATCAACTTCATCAAAGGCAAAAATGTGTCAAGAAAGCCTGGGTGCTGCCTGGTGACCTCTGACTTTGGAGACATGGCCTTCCCTTCTGATAGGCCCATGCTGCCCCTGCAGCCCACTGACCAAGTCCTGTCCTTTCACCAAAGTCAGCTCTCTGCTGAGGGACACTTACCTGGTCTGCAAATGCATTCGTCAGAGACAGATACGGAGCTGGGTATGTTGCAAAAATAAGTGCCGTTGCATTTTCTCCCTCGATGATCAGTTTTCCCCCAGCAAAGGACATGAGCGCATCTATGGAAGACAGAGTTCGGGCACGTTAGTGTTCTCTGGGAAGGGGTCTGGGCCAGGTCGCGTGTTAACCAACTGCAGTCAAACACTCGGGTGTAGTATGGCAGATCCACGTTGTCTGCTCTCTTCACATTCCAACATGGTAGCTTCAGAGATGCCCAGAGAAGTCACAAGATGGTGGGTCAAGGACAGAGAGCCCTGGCTGCCCTCAGTGGTTCACTTGGAACTTGAGCCAAATCCTAAGCCACTGGGTCCTGAAACTGATTTTTGAGGAGGGTGAGGAATTGTTGGAAATTTTGCAGTTGACCAAAAGCCAATGTGGAATGTGGACCTACTCTGGGGAGAATTCATAATTCTAATATCAGTCCTCAGTCTGAGGATGTCATGGTTTAGTTGCCCTTGGAGTGAGGGAGACAGAAGTCCCTACAGAGCCAATGTGGACCCAGCTCTCTCCCACGACCGTTCAATTGCCTCATTTTGTGGAGCAGGAAACCAGGACTGGTACGGTCAGATGACTTATTATTTGAAGTCACACAGCTACGCATTGTGTGCATGTTCACACTGCAGCACTGGCTGGGCCTAAAAATATGCTTCCTTTAAGGTCTGCTCCCTCTTTTAAGTTGTGACCATTTTCATTAGAAGCCTCATCAGTTTTCCCTAATGGTAACGATAGCCCCATTATTTAGAACTTAGAACTGTTAGAATTGCCTGTCAATTGCAGAATGCTTCCTATTCTGGCCTTCGTGTGCCTCTCCAAGTAGTTCTGATGTTCATATTACGCCCAGCTCTCCTGACCTCTGGACTCAGGGGTCTCACTCACCATAGTAAATCCCATAGAGGATTGCGGACCCGATGAAGGCTCCCAAGAACTGGGCTCCCACATAAAAAGGCAATTTGAACCATTTCATCCGTCCAAAGAGGCACAGTGCAAAAGACACAGCTGGGTTGATGTGGCCACCTGCAAGGAAGACAAAAAGGTGATTAGGGGTGTTAGAGGGCAGATCACGGAGAATTATTATGAAGAAAACCTAGAGAGTTTGGGCAGAACACAGTCTTCTAGGTAGAGATCTGTATGTGAGGACACAGAGTTCTGTGTCTCTGTGTGTGTGCTGAGTGTGTGGGAGATAGAGAGTTCGAGTGGGGAGGAAGGGAGAACTAATAGTCCTCATAACATCATTAGACACTCCAGGATGTTTAGCTTTTTGATACAGAAAAACTTGTACCCAAGTGGCTCATTTTCTTTCTATCTATCTTCTATCTATTCTCTCTCTCTCTCTCCTGGGTTTTCTCTATCTATAAAAGAATAACCCTAAAGAGATTGATGTGAACTATTAACATCAATATATAAATTTTAAAATTCAATATACTGCCTGGCCAGTGTGGTTCAGTGGTTGAGCATCGACCCATGAACCAAGAGGTCACCGACTTGATTCTTGGTCAGGGCACATGCCCAGGTTGTGGGCCCGATCCTCAGTGGGGGACATGCAGGAGGTAGCCAATTGATGTTCTTCTCTCTCATTGATATTTCAGTCTCTCTCTCCCTCTCCTTCTCTCTCTGAAATTAATAAAAATAATAATAATAAATAAAACTCAATATACTAGTCAGCTGACTGCTCCTGCTGGCACGGGAAAAAGTCCTATACTTACTTATAAAGTTTAAATCCATCTCTAACAACCCTTCAGTCCATATCCAGAAGATATAAAAACAATCTTAGAACTGCAAAGAGGGAGCATTTGAGATCTTGCTTCATCTCATGTCATCAGTTTGGCTCTAATAAACTCATAAAAATAAAAACTGAAACACTGAAAGAGATGTCTCTTTAAGGGGAAATGTCCCTTGGTTGGTGGGCTGTGCCTCTCACGGAGGTAAGGGGCTTAGTTTCCTTTGAAGTGATCACAGTAGACTCTCTGCAGTTCTTCCGTGTAAACAGTATGTTCCCCACCCCAGCCTAAGCCTTGGCTGAAGAAACCAGCCTCCTCCATTCTCCTCTGGCCACAAGGTCACAGAGCGTTTGCTCGGGTACGTCACTCATACCCTCAGCTGGCCCTGCTGGTAACAACAGTGCTCCTGGAACACTTGCTAGACGCTCTCCCGGGGGTGTTCCATGCACTTGATCTTCCAAAAGAGCCCCGTGAGATGGCTACTGCTGCAGCGGACTGGTGAGGAAACGGAGGCACAGAACTAAAGTAACTTTCTTAAGGCCACATGGCTGGTGAGTGGTAGAATAAGACTGCAAACCCAGGTTTACCTGAACTCTAGAGCCTATGTGCTATGTTCTGCTGCTTCCAGACCTTCTTCACGAGGTTTATACAGCTTCTCTGCCTTGGTGGGCAGGGCAAAATGAAAAGAACGTGAGTGTGTGGGCTCACTGCCTACGGACAGAAAAGGTGTCCATTTGAAGAGTGCCGATGACATCTTGTATGGCGTGGAAATTGCAGTTACTGTCAACATGACCACATTAAAATGTGGCCCTTTGGGCTGTAGAAATAGTTGTGAACAGAAGAGGATTACAATGACGATGATGATACTGCGGCATTGGACCCTCCACTACACCAACCGGGGAGCCTGTTTCTGGAAGCTGTCCCTGTGAAGAAAGCCATGTGTTTCCTGAGTCCCTGAGCCAAAGTGGGTTTGCAGCACAGAGGGGTTCTCACTGCTGGCGAAACCTCCGCCACTCAGGGGCTGACGGGAGCGAGAAAATGCCAACATGCCAAAGCACAGATGATTTCCTGAAGCCTTGCAAACATGTCACGTGTCTTGTTTTACTTTTAAATGCAAGAGTGTCACAATTCTGGAGAAAAGCAGGAGTATGGTGTACCAGGAAACAGGTTAGGAGCAGGGAGTGCACAGGGCAGCGGGAAGGTCCTGAAACCAACCCTGTTCCCTGCCCCCAGGGGTGGGCGGGGGAGCAGCTGCCACCAGCCAGCCCTGAGGGACCCGGTGAGAAAGGACCAGGGTGCACCAGAAGTCACCTCCAATCAAAACTACCTCCCAGCAGAAGAGTCCACCAATGAAAGAGTGTGTTTAGCAAGCTCCTCCTCCCAAATAAAACTCTGCCTAAGTAGGTTTTTGCTTTTTAGTGCCTCATGAGGACCCTGAGGCAGGAATTATTGTTCACCTTGGACTCCACAAGCTTCAAGGCAGTTAGTAGGTGTTCAAGATATGGGAGTTGAGTCCTGGCCGGGTGGTGCAGTGGGTTGGAGTGTTTTCCTGGACATCAAAAGGTTGTGGGTTTGATTCCCAATCAGGGCACATACTTAGGTTGTGGGTTTGGTCCCCAGCTGGATGTGTACGGGAGGCCACCGATTGGTTTTCCTTTCACATCGATGTTTCTTTCTCTCTCAAAATAAAAAATCACTAGGCTGGGGAAGGCAGGGGTGGGGGTGGGAGCAAGAAGAAGGGGGTCAATGGGGAAAAAAGAGGGACATCTGTAATACTTTCAACAATAAAAATAAATAAAAATTTAAAAAAATCAATGAAAACATACTGTCAGATGAGGATTACAAAATATATATATTCAAGTTGAAGAAATAAACAGTCAGGGGCCTTTATTCAGAGAGCACAGACCACAAGGACCTACAGAGAGGGGAAGCTGGAGGTCAGAGAAGGTGGTCTGGGAGGGCGCTCTGCACAGCAATGAGGCCAGCTTCTCCCTGCGGAGGTGAGTGGTCACTCTGGCTTCCCCAAGGGACAAGGCAGAGCAGTGCCCGGGGAAGACCGCGTGCCAGGGCCAGAGTGCTGCACGGCCTCGGCCCCGCCAACGTCGTTGCAAGATCAGATTCTTCACGTAAATGCCCTTTGGGCAGCCGGAGCCCGCCAGGCCGGAGCTAGTCTCCTGTGAGCAGGCTGAACTCTTTCAAGGTTCCGTCCTCGCCAAGTCCCCTCCCACCACTCCTCACAAACCGTTCTAGTACAGAGATAGCCTTTCCATTTTATGTGTCATTAAGCAAAGCTATTTTGATTTGTCAATGAATTTATATTGCTTATAAATTGCTAATCAGCCCTGGCCAGTGTGGCTCTGCAGTTAGAGCGTTGGCCCTGAGCACCAAAGGGTCTCAGGTTCCATTCCTGGTCAAGGGCACATATCTTGGTTGGTTGCAGGTTCCATCCCTGATCCTGGTTAGGGTTGTGCAGGAGGCAACCAATTGATGTGTCTCTCTCACATCGATGTTTCTCTCTCTCTCTCCCTCCCACCCTCCCTGACACTGTATTTAAAAACCAATGGGAAAATATCCTCGAGAGAGGATTAACAACAAAATGCTACATTAAAACAACCTTAGCCCAGGTACAGGTAGGCAGTGTAACCCTCGGTGGGAGATGCTGCATCATGAAGTCACTGTGAGCTCTGATTGGCTGAGTGGGTTCCCAGACCATGGCATGCTCACGAGGGAAGCAGGGTGAGGTAACCTCTCTGCAGTCAGGTAATGTTTCATGTTTCAAAACCAGATGTCAGCTCACCTTATCAGTCTGTGATCACAAAATGGTATCTCATTTATGTTTGTGCCCAGTATGTGTTGGTTATCTTTCGAATCCTCCAAGAGGGCCTCATTGATGCCCACAAACCTTTAAGTTAGCTGCAGCCCCCATGAGAAAGCCACCTCCCACCCGCAACCTTCCTCTCCTATTCCTGTGGCTGCTGAAGCCAATCCTGAGTCTGCACGGATGTCCCTGGCGGGCCAGAGGGCTGCCTGTGCACGTCCCAAAGCCACCAGTTTTCAGGGAGTCCGAACAGTGCTGAGTTCCAAACAGACGGGCAGATAAGTCCCTCTTCTACCTTTTAGCAGCCAGGCTCAGAAACGGCTCTATTTGTATTTAGGGATCTCACAATCTCTTTTAAACAATTTGGCCAGCTCCCAAACCTCACCCAGAAACAACTTTATCAACAACAGTCCCATCAATTCTGGCCTTCACCCTCTGAATACAGGGGCTTAACCCCGTCCAGGGCCAGATGGAAAGCCTGCATACCAACCAACTCCCTCTTCCCCTTCCTGCTGGTCCCTGCCCCTTTCCTCCTGTGGCGACTGCCCAGATTCTCGAGTCTATCAAAGAATGCAAACAGTTACGGTCAGTGGTGGTGAGAAAACGGTGTGAGTTTCACCGGTAGGTTATGGAACAAAGTAATCGTAACTAATATTTGACGATGTTCAATTCACGGTGTCATGTCACACAAGCAAAATACTCCAATACCACATGTCCACCAAAACCAAACCAAACAGCAAAAGCTAGCAGAGACTGTGTCCACGTTTCTATTGCGTGGCTTGTGGGAACCACACTGTGGGGTGGAGTGGGAGCACAGAGGGGAGGCAGCGGAGCGTCCTGCGTGTGTGTGTCCTGTGTGTGGCACCAAGGCCTGTGCTGTTATTAAGCCTTGGCACGGTCAGGGCGGTCCCCCCGTTATTCTTGTGCCTCAGGTAGGCAGTACAGTGCTGGGGTCACAGCAGAGGTTCAGCAGGAGTTTGAACAGAAACCCTGCTCACGCCGAGCAAATTGTATGTAGAGGAATCTGTAACCCGGACTGCCCCAGCCTGAGTCTGACTGCGGTGGAAATGACTGTTCCAGGTGCCCAGCCATTATTCTTCCGTGCTGCAAGGACAGCACTTGTCACCAGGCCAGCTGGCTTAATCGCAGGCCCTGCCTACAATGCCCTTCCCGTAACAGACTGTTGGAGATGTTGTGTAATAATGGGGACATGAGCTTTGCTGTCATGGAGACCTGGGTCAAATCTTTGGGCTCTCTGTTTACCAGCTTGCTGGTGGTCTTCTGGTGGTTTACTTCAACCCTCAGAGCTCCAGATTTCTCTATAGAAGGGAGACCCTAATACCTGCCTCAGAGTCCTGCTGGAGGGGAGAGAGGATAGAGAGTCTGCACGGCAGCCAGCAGTGCCCAGCGTGCATGGTCCTTTCTTTCCCTATCACCAACAGTCTTGTCTTAGCGTTCTGAGCACACAGACCAGGCGGCTGAAAGGTTCCAAGGGCCTTTGGGAACCCGATCATTTTCATAGTTCCTTCCTAAGCCCCTAGGCTACAGTAAATGTTATTTCATCTTGCCCCTCAGGACCTTGAGAATGGCTACTCATCAGCCCACCACTTGGAGCAGAATTAAACCAAGACCTCTGGTCAGACTGGCATGTCCATGGAAACAGCGGCCAGTGGCCCGGACTCGCTCTGAGGCTGTAGATAAAGGTCTAGGGACTTGGCCTCTGTGGAGCGGCATCTTCTCTGGGCTACTCAGAAGGTCTCTGGGAAATAGTTCCCAGCTGTGGGCTAGAGCAAGACAAACTGTGTAGACAGATGAAGACTATGATTCAGTGGTCAGATATAGGAACCAGTCAGTTCTGAGTTCTAACCCCTGTCTCTGTCTCTTGCTAAAGATTGCCTTTGCACCTGTCACTTACCATTTGCTGGACATTTTCCTTTTATCATCTCTGAAAATGGAACCAAATACATATTCTTGCAGGACTGTTGAGATCTAAATAAATGCAGGCATAGGAAGCACCCAGCACGGTGCTAGCACACAGAAATGGTTGAGCTATAGTAGCTATTATTATTTCTATTGCTTACCGGAGACACCTCCAGTCACATAAATGGCCATTGTGACGGCCATTGCAAATCCAACATTTACAGTGACATATCCTCCAAAATTTCCTCTACTGAGGATAGCTTGGGCGACAGTGCCACATCCAAGGACCTGGAATGAGAGGAAACAAGTAAGTGGAGATGGCCGCCGTCAAAGACCTTGACAAAGTAACAAGAAGTACTTTTAAAGCAAGTCCATAGATTAGGCTGCCACTAGCTTCATACAAATTAAATTATGATGCTCCCGCTGTGCACAGATCACCAGGAGACCAGGCTGACGCCATAGCGTGTAGCACAGAAAACACAAAATGATGGTCCCAGGGCTGCACCTGGCTGACAGGTGAGTTGTGTTTGGCCTGCACAGTGTTAAAATTTTGCCTACGTGGATCAATCTGGTAATTGCACACAATGATCCGGGTTTCTGGCTTCTATTTTAAATTGAACTTTTTATATTTAGATAATTGTAGATTCACATGAGGTTGTAAGAAATAAAACTGCCCTGGCTGGTTGCTCAGTGGTTAGAGCGTCGGCCTGCAGTCTGGAGAGACCCGGGTTCGGTTCCCACTAAGGGCATGAACCTTGGTTGCAGTTTGTCTCCGGCCCTGTTGGGTCATGTGAGTGGCAACCACTCGATGTGTCCCTTTCACATCGATGTTTCTCTCTCTCTCTCTCCCTCCCATTCTATCTGAACAAAATATCAAAAGAAAAAAGAATTGGCAATAAGCCCTCCTCATCCCCATGTCTTCTCTTCCTGGTGGGGCCATAGTTCCTAGAGAGCAGAGGCTGCCGCCCGCACTGCTCCGGGTCCCTGCGGCGCCGAGCACACTGCTGGGCGCACTCGGGGAGCAGCTGCACGTTGGAGATGAAGTCTGAGGGGCTTCAACAGTCTTCCGCCGGCAGAGGGTATTTCGGAGAATGGAATAAGTGTCCAGAAGGGTTAGGAATAAATATGATATGTACATCCACTCAGCAAATATGACACAGGATTCTGTACAGTATAATAAAACAGAATGAGGAAGGTCTATGTGTACCAATGTGGGTCTGTGTGCACCAAGGTATGTTCCTGAATTTAAAAATGAGATGCAAAGCAGTGTTAGAGCACACTGCCAATGGTATTAGGAATACAATACATTATAGCCCAGCTGGTGTGGCTCAGTGGCTCAGTGGAAGGAGTGATGTCTCATGGACTGAGGGGTCCTGGTTTGATTCCCGGTCAGGGCACATGCCTGAGTTGTGGGCTCGATCCCCAGTAGGGGGTGTGAGGAGGCAGCCAATCAATGTATCGCTCACATTGATGCTTCTATCTCTCTGACCCTTCCTCTCTCTCTAAAAAAAAGTCATTAAAAACATATTTTAAAAAAGAATGAAATCTTGCCATTTGCAACACTATTGATGAAACTTGAGACTATTACAGTCGGTGAGATAATAAACAGCTGTTGTCTCTTCACAGAAGAATGAGGAGGGAAGTTCGGACGGAAATATGAGGTGGCACAAACGGTTTCCTGAGAGTAATCAATTAAATCTAAGTCCTTTTCCCAGAGCTCATTGGTGAGTCCCTTCAGAGAAACGTAATTTACAAACAAGGGATATTCAATACATTTGGAAATATTTTGCTTTACTCCTCCTTGAAGGCAGATAAATGATCTAAATGGCCTTTTAAAATCCCCTCCAGTCCCCAGTTCTAAGATATATTGACCCGTGTTAGTTCTGAGGCTGGACAACAGAGAGAAGTAGGGGACTTGATGTCCGAGGGAAACACTTAGGCTCCGAGTCACAAGCCCGTGGCTGTGCTGATTGGTGGGAGAGGTACCGCCTGTCACTCCCAGTCACCCAGGCCAAACATTCTGGATTCATCTGGTGTTCCTTCCTCTTCTCTCCCCTGGCTACCCATAGCCACCCATTCCCACATCTTCTGAGCCACCTTCTGCAGCCTCTGATTAGTGTCCCCATTTCTAGGGTCCCCCCACCCGCTGCCAGATGAAGCATGACCCATATACTCCCCTCCCCCGTTGCTGAGAAGTAAGTACAGGCACTAACCCCTCGGCCTGGTGCTGGGGGCTGCCCAGGGCCTTGCCTCACGATCCCCGGGCCCCTCTGCCCCGCGGTCCGCATGAGTCTTCTGTCAGCCAGGCTGCACCCCAGGCACCCGGGTGCTTTGAGCTCGTGCCGCCCACTCCCGCCTCTGCACACCTGCGCAGGCCACACCTTCCAGCAGGACTTTTTTGCCCTGTTACCTTCCTCCACCAAACCCATTCTATCCTATACACTGAGCTAAAATCTTACTTGTTTTAAAAATGTGTTTTTGGCCCTGGCCGGTTTGGCTCAGCGGTTAGAGCGTCGGCCTGCGGTCCAGAGAGACCCGGGTTCGGTTCCCGCTAAGGGCACGTACCTCGGTTGCAGTTTGTCCCCGGCCCTGGTTGGTCGTGCAGGTGGCAGCCACTCGATGTGTTCCTTTCATATCGATGTTTCTCTCTCTCTCTCTGTTCCTCTCTCTCCCTCCCACTCTACCTGAACAAAAAATAGAAAAATGTCCTCAGGTGAGGATAAAAAAAATAAAATAAAATAAAATAAATAAAAATGTGTTTTTGTTGATTTTAGAGAGAGAGGGAGAGAGAGAGAGAAACATCAATGAGAAAGTAACAACGATAGGCTGCCTCCTGCACACCCTTCACAGGGGACCGAGCCAGCTGCCTGGGCATGTGCTCTGACTGGGAATCGAACCAGTGACCTTTTGGCGCATGGGATGACAACCCTAAAATCCTACTTTTTTTGTGGGACTTTCTCTGACAACGTAAGGCCTCAAGGGCTCTTCTGCTTCTTCTACCATGTGTTTACAGCGTCATTTCATCATATTCCCTTTGCCCTGTGGCACCCCACCAAGACTACATCGTCCTCCAGGGCAGCCCAGGCTTCTCTGTATCCCATGCTCAAATGATACTTGATGAAATATATTAAAACATCTGAACACAAGCAGGGAAAAAACCCTGTGTCAATGCCTTTTCAAGAGAAAAGGTTAGTTTGGGGGTAGATTGTGAAAGTGGAAGGTATGATTTCTAGGAAGTGTCAGCTGGGACTGCTGAGAAGTTCCCAACTGGGCCACGACCTCTGCGACCAGCCAATTAGTGGACACCGCGTAATGAGATGCTGACCATGAACCCGAATGCTAGGAACGTGGAGAGAATAATAAGCCCACAGATTTTCTTTCATTTGACCTTTCTCAAATCTTTTGCATGTCTATTACTTCCTTTAAGATATAGACTGAGAAGTTCCAAGCACAGTACCTAGCATATAACAGGCTCAGTATTTTTTCAGTGAGTAGGTAAAAACTGAGATCTTTTAGAAAAGAAGTGGTTAATGAAGTTTAGGAATTCCTTAGGAAAATGTTTGCAAATGCCTGCAACCTGGGGGTCAGGGGTCACCAGGAAAGCTTACAGTTACTGCAAGGGGTCTGTGATTCTTTGTGCACGTCAAACATTGTCCAAAAAAGGAAGCATAACGTATCTTGCGTCTACCTGGTGTGGTTCGGTATTTTCAGAATGAAGAAAGGTTCACTTGGCTAGTATTTATTGATAATTGTTCTTGTAAACACTTTTTCTAGGAAGTGAATGTTCCCCTTTGATTCAGTAGTGACAGATTGGGCATGTTTGCAGTGACAATACTGTTTGCCTTCGACATTGCTGCAGGTCTTCTCGGAGATAAGCAAGGAATTTATTTTAGGTGAAAAATATCCTTCAGGAGATAATTTGTCGTTAAATGATGCAAACATTCATGAAACAGAAGTCAGCTTTTTAAAAAATCCTCACCTGAGGATACTTCTTTCCATTTTTATCTCCAGGTAGAGTGGGAAAGAGAGAGAAGCATCAACGTGAGAGAGACAGGGTGCTTGGCTGCCCCCACACGACCCCAGCCAGGGCCGGGGACCTAGCCGCAAGCGAGGCAGGTGCCCTTGACTGGAATCAAGCCCGTGACTCTTGTCTGAGGGCCGATGCTCTACCGCTCAGCCAAACCGGCCAGGGCCAGAAGTCAGCATTTAAAAAGCGTGTCTGGCCCTGGCCAGGTGGCTCAGTTTGTTGGAGCTCATCCTGTACACCAAAAGGTTGTGGGTTCGATTCCCAGTCAGGGCACATACCTGGGTCGTGGCTTGTGGGGGAGGCAACTGATTGGTGTTTCTCACATCCATGTTTCTCTCTCTTTCTCTCTTCCTCTCTCGAAACATATCCTTGGGTGAGGATTAAAAAAACAAAAATGTCTGAAGTCACTGAGCAGGTCTGTGTCCTGCTAATTCCCGTCCCAGAGCTTGCTGGGAGTACGAAAGGAGAAGGTGGGGGGCACTCCAAACCCTCTGCTCCGGACCATCACAAGCGCCTCTACCTCCACGGGCCTCACCCCCTTCTCCCGCCTCTTTGGCAAGAAGCAGCTGTGCATTTTCGTGGCTGGATTAATGCTGCTGGCAAGACGACCACTCCGTACACCGAAGTTAGGGGAGGTAATCCCCACCATTCCTGCCACTGGTTTGAACGTGGAAACAGTAGCGTGTGAGAATGCTTGTTTCACAGTGTGGGGTGTTGGTGGTCGACACAATATTGGGCCTCTCCGCAGGCACTTCTTCCAGGTGCCAGGGCCTTACTTCTGTGGGAGACTGCGACGGTCGTGAGAGAATTCGGGGAGGAGCTGAGGAGCTGCAAAAAACGCGTTAGGCCCTGGCCGGTTTGGCTCAGCGGTTAGAGCGTCGGCCTGCGGTCCGGAGAGACCCGGGTTCGGTTCCCGCTAAGGGCATGTACCTTGGTTGCACTTTGTCCTCAGCCCTGGTTGGGTCGTGTGGGTGGCAGCCACTGGATGTGTCCCTTTCATGTCGATATTTCTCTCTCTCTCTCTCTCTCTCCCTCCTCACTCTATCTGAACAAAATATTGAAGAATGTCCTCGGGTGAGGATAAAAAAACCCAAAAAACAAAAAAACGCGTTAGATCCTAAAAGTTTAGGAAGATGAAATGCAGTGTTGTGGCTTTTTGCAAACAAACAGGATTTGCCAAATGCTATGGCTGTCAATTAAATGAATGATAGCACCTTCATAACAGAACATGGCATGTTCAAACCGCTCGAGCCACACAAGG